TCTCCTTGTGCTCCCTTCCCTCAGATGTATCATCTAGTCCACTCTCCGCGTTAGTACATGTGGAGAAAACATGAAAATGGTTGCTCACCTGTATCTGCGTTGCTGGTACGTGGACGCTCCTCTTTCTTCTTCTGGAGGTCACATGCTGTCAAATTTCTTCACCTTCCTTCTGTCCCCACTGTGCAGCCTGCTCTGATTCTTCAGAATGTTGTGCCCGTAGAAGCATATCCTGACATCTATCCAGGAAATCTTCATTTTTCTCTTATGCAACGCAGGGCTGATACTTGTTTCTCGAGACCTTGAACCTTCTCTTCCAATATGGAGACACTTTGTACAGACAAAGTCGCTTCTGTCCTGTGGACGAAAGACAAACATAGCACATCCTGTGCAGGTCACAACAGCTGATCGCTCACCATCCATATTACCTTCTTTCTAAGGGCTTCCTCAGCTGTTGTAGTAACTACTCAGAGATGCCTGCAAGATGAAAGCCTCAGTGGGCTCTCCCCAGGCAAACTCCCAGTCAAACTCCCTCTGTTAGCCTCTCCACTGTTTGCCGCTCAGCTGGTTCACAGGTGCTACGGAATGAAGGCAGGGGAGAAACCTGTACAGAATAGAAGAGAATTCTAAGGTAACCACAGATGTTCCTGAATATTTTGGTGCATACATTGATAGCTGAGTTCATTTTTTCAGAGGTCAGGCATCTCTTGGGAGGGAAAGGGAGAAGAACCCCTCCTTACCCTAGCTGAAGTAGATTCCTCTTACCTCCCTGCATCCATCCATGGAACTTTCCCTCTGCCTTGGCTCTGTCGCTGATAATTTTCTCTGAGACTCTGATAGTGACTTGTCAGGTTAAATGAAAAGGAAGGAAACAATACAGAGGAAATTGATAAACACTGCTTGAAAAATGGAGCGAGAGCAAGCTTCCCTTGGAGAAGCTGTGATTAGTGTGTGTGTGTGCGCATATATATATATATATATCCATCCCTTTTCTGGAGTTCCTAAAAATAGCTCTTGGCTGGATCGACCTATCACTGTCTCTCACCAAAGACCTATTGAATGGCCTCAGATACTGTACGGCTCATGCTGGCATTCTCCAGATGATGGCACAAAGGGTCATTTTGCATCCAGGAGGTTTTGGCCACCTGGGGGGCTGCACCAGCCAATATGTAGAGCAGCCCAGCCATGAGCCCTCATAGATGCTGGTGGGGTTCATTTCTGAGTCCAAGCGATGTACGCTTAAGCACAGGAAGAGAGATGGAGGTGGGGACCAGGCAGGAAGTGTTGGGGAGAAAGTGCAGCGCCCCACTCAAGCTGGGGGGAAAAATCCTCCGTGTAGCCCCCAGGGAGACTGAAGGGCTCAGATACTTTGGGGAAGAGCATGGAATAACTGGGACTGGAATAGATGATCTCTCAAGGTCCCTTCCAGTCCTATGATTCCATGAGTCTATGCATAAAAAGATTAGCCAACCCCACATGCCCATAGCATCAGTCTTTGGGAGAACCAATTCATGTATTCTCATGGGATGGGGCATGGCATTTGGCTCCTGATATCTAAAAGGACCTCAATGCAGTCTTATGTGCTCACAAGTGTCTGCCCCAAACTAGCTGCAGGTGCTGATGCTGCTACTGAGCTGCCAGTCTGCTAGGCTCTGCATGGCATCATGTAGATGCCTGCGTGGAAGGATTTGTCTGCTGGCACAAAAGGGCAGGAGCAGGGACTGGCATCTGCAAAAGCAGAGGCCATTTTTCAAAATTGGGCCTTCTGGCCAGAATTTTCACAACAGCTCAGTTCGTTGGGGATCTGAGGTCTTCTGAAAACCTGGCCAAAAGCATCACAATGGGAGCTACTGGCCCTAAATGGAAGCTGAGCCTGTTGGCAAATCTGACCCTGACTGCAAGTGCGGGAATTATGTTGGGGCAGTTCTCTGGCCTGTGCTATGCAGCAGGTCAGACTAGATGATCACAGTGGTCCCTTCTGGCTTTGGGATCTAGGAATCTCTGAAATCTATTCCTGTGTGATTTTAAAAATCTAGCCTCACATGTAGTAGTTTTAGGAACAGTGGGTTTTAGTTTTTATTAACTAATAACATCAGTTCCAAAATTCAGGCAAAATAATGCAAAGGCAAATGTTTAAAATCCAAATATTTGTGGGTTTATAAAATGCAAATATTTCAGGCATAATCTGGGAGAAAACTAGCCTTGATTATCTGCATTAACTTAGATTGATGAGAAGGACAATATGACGTGTTTCAGTTTCCATTGGTTTCCAATTGCTTTCCATTGGGCTGCTTCGTTCAAGGTCCTGGACCTGAATGGTGATGGGAGAAGGAGGATTCCACAGCTGTTCTGCTCGTTAGAGGAAGGAAAAACTGCAGTGTGACCGAGATCAACCAGCAGAATGTGGCTTTCTTCAGAAATTCTGAGTACACTTGCATGAATAAAAGGGAAAAAAGTATTTTTTGGGAATGAAATCTATTGCTTGTTGGCATAGTCAGGATCATTTGGATAAGTGAGCTTTTATTTGATATATAAGTAAACATATATGGTGTTCAAAGCATCCTAAATACATGTATGTCCTATGGATATATATGTAATCTCCATGGAAATTACACACACACACACGTTAGGCACCCACTATATATATAGGATGCCTAACGTGTGTATGTGTGTGTGGTGGGGTGTCTGCCCCACTCCCATATTAGAGGGGGCTACAGCAGGTCAGTGGGCCTCCACAGACAAACAGCCAATTAGAAAAGGGCTTATTGGGAGCCAATCAGGGCCCAGATTGGAGGGAGTCAATCAGGGCCAGGCTCAGCCCTATAAAAAGGCTGCTCAGGGAGAGAGCAGGCAGTCTGTCCCAGGTCTTCGACAGGTGAAGATCTGTCTCCAGAGCTGGGGGAGACTAGCATCTGGAACAGCGCAGTGCTGGGCCGACCCGGGGGAGCAGAAGGGAACTCCAGCCTGGTGTCTGCCAGGCTTTAGGCCCTGAGGGGAAGGGCTTAGCTGGTGTGAGGAGCTAAAGGGGAAGTGGCCCAGGGACGTGGATAGATGGAGGGAGAGAAGGAGGGCAGGATGGCTGCTACTAGAGGGTCCCTGGGTTGGGACCCAGAGTAGTGGATGGGCCTGGTTCCCCCCTTCCCTCTTGCCTTGCACCCGGCTGACGGGAGTGGCCGTCTTGGGCTGCACCAACCCCCTGCCAAGAGGGGTGTGAATTTGGGGGTGCAGTTGCTCACATTGACCGGGGCACAGAGAGACAGCTGATTGATTTCCCCTCCCTCCCCAGAAGGGGGCAAGGATGGACTAAGGGGCACTGCCGGAGGGCAGTGGCTTGAAGAGGACGCTGCAAGTTGGGAGCAATGCGGCTCCACACGCCAACCAAGGACGAGATGATGGATGGGACACCATCAGGAGGGGACGCTCCACTGGACTGAGCTAATTCCCGAGGATGACCAACAGGGGGCGCTGGGTGGTGAGTCCCAACACCATTACAGTGCGTCTATTTGGAAAACACATGAAATCAGAGCAGGTTGAAAGTTTGCTGCAGATGGAAATGGCCATTCCATCCCCTGAGAATTTCTGTGGGAAATTTTCATTTTGTTCCATTTTTTTTCACATTTTAGCCAAACACAGAATAATTGCCATCCCCTCCCCCCTCCAACCCGATTTCTCCTTTAATCATGTTTCCATTTTGCCCCTGGAGAAGGGGTGTGTGGTCAGCTGTCTGCCCCACCCAGGCAGTGCAAAGATTGATGTGGGACTGAGCAGCCAGTTAGCACACGTGGGTGCTGCTGGATCCACGGCCAGGCCAACAAAATATGAGTCCCAGCTAGGAGGGGAGCTAGGTGATTTGTATATAGGGAGGAAGCCCAGAGTAGAAGGTGGCTGCCAGGAGAGAAGGGAATGACTCTCGTCCTTCTCCGAGTAATGAGAGAAGAGAGCTTCAGGAAGGAGTTTATACCAGGGTCCAGAGGGGAGAGGGCAGCAGGGGTGAAGGAGCCTCCTGGAGTGGGCCTAAGAGATGCTGACCTCCAGGCAGACAGCCTTGGGCATAGATGGGAGTTGAGAGGGAAAGGCTCCAGGGAGGTGAGAGTCAGCATTTTGCAGAAGAGCAGAGAGCTGGGGGGTAAAGCTGGCGGGAAAGGGAGCAGAGGTTATTTTCGAAGAGACATGGAGCACCTACAGCAACAGAAAAAACCCATAGCAGTGCCACTGTAGCGCCCGTAGCATAGCCATGGCCATAGGTTCTTGCATCCCTGCAGAAACCTCTGCATCTCACCAGGTTCTCTTGTCAGGCTAGAGCTCTTGGATAGATGAACCTGAGCTGGCTATTGAAACAGGGAGCTCAACTACTGCTGGCCTGATGACACTCCAGGAGCCGAAATACAAGGAAAAGAGCAGATCTCAAATTAGTTCAGCCTCACAAATAGATCTCTGAGGACTAGTAGGGTTAGTTCATCCTGTAAACATGGCTGAGGGAGGCTGCGTGTGTATTGAGTCTTGCTGTATTCCCTGTGACATGGGTTCAGCCCCAGAAACTTACCCTGGGATCTGCGAATCTGGCTGGGCTCTTTCAATCGCAGGCATTATCACCAGCCATAGAGATCCTGCACCTCCCAAAATGCCCTCAGGGATCCCAGTGCAAACCTAAGCCTTCAGACCGTGCTCTCTGCGACCCAGCATACCCCGATTTACCATCAGTGAGTTCCCACAGGTATAACTCCAAAGCAAGTAACGTTGTGTAGGTGCCTATGTGGCTTTACGGTCCCCACATTACGCACCCACACTTACAAGTGGTGTTGCCCCAAATTCATTAATACTATTCATAAGGAAGAGTCTGGCAGCCATACTTGTAGCACAATTTACAAATGATTTGTGATTTCACTGTGATCTGTGTCTGTGCTCTGCTGACCTCTGGAAGAATTGCTCACCTGTGTGTCATATGCCCTGTACTGCTGGCAGCTAGCAGGGGAGTCTCCATTATCTTCAGTGGCAGGAGCCCATGCATTCAGAGCAGGCTCCCCTGTACTGTTGCTCTGAATTCCCGCAGCCAATCTGCAGCATAGAGGCAGCAGTGGAGTCCCAGGCTTGGTTACAAACCACATTAACCTCTGCTGTGCTGTGCAGTGTGAGAACTGGTGCTACTGATGAGGCATAGGCTTGGGACTCCAGCAGGGAATCAGGATCAGGAGAAACAAGAGTCCTTGGTAATAAAGACAGAAAGCGACACGGAAGCCAAGTTGTCTCTACAGCGAGGTTCTGGATGAGGTTTTTATCCTTAGAATCTCATCTCCTCCACATGCGAGTCGCTCTCATCCCTGCTTCCCTGCCCCCTCACCCTCATGCTAATAACATTTTACAAGGTGATATTACAACCAGCTGATTAAACAGCAGATATTAGAGTTGAAAAATGAAGACAAATCCCTGAAGGTGTCTGTCTTGCCCCTTGCGGAAGAGCTCATTAATTTTGTTTTGTTATGAGGCCAGGAGAATGAGCTAGGAGGTGGCACCCTCTGTGATGGGAAGGTTTCCCCAGCCAGCCCTGACTCGAAGACCAAACACACCGACTTGCAATAAATTGGGGCACGGTGAGCCAGGACTCATTAACTCCACATTAATTCTGCTGAAATCAATGGATTCTAGGCCTGATTTTCACCAGTGAAACTGAAAGCAAACTGTGTGTTTTAGGGCTGGGTCCCATTTCTCCTGAAATTTGCAGCCCTCATGGACTCACCATTGGAGATGGCAGGTTTATTTGCTGTGAATAAGCTATCGAACAATTTAACCCTTGGATGTGACTGTGAGTCATCCATGAGCAGGTTAAGATTGACCCAGGCACATTCGTTATTGGGGAGTGTGTTTGAGCAAACTCACTTAATCCTCCAGATTGTGAGCGGCCTCTTTAAATTAGGTGATGCCCTGAGCAACAGCTGATGCATAACCTGCAGTCCCTCCCTCTGAGGCACAGTTCCTCCCTGCTCCCCCTTGATCCTGAGGATCAGCACATTATGATACCTTCTCCCCAAACCTTCACCACGTAAGATAAGGAGGAGCTCTGGGCTCGATCCTGTATCAGGCTGAGCACTCTGGCCCTGATCCTGCAAAATACTTAAGTGCAGACTTAATGTGAAGCATCTGAATTGTCCCATTGGAATCAATTCGATGAATCATGTGCTTAAAGCTAAGCATGAGCTTACGTGCATCACTGGATCAGGCCCAGAATGCTCAGCCCCACACAGGATGGGGCCCTTGCTGATTTGAGTAAGCTGCAATCTAGTCATTGGGAATGGCCACAAGAGGGTACTATAATCGCAGGAGCTAGGCTGGTGTATATTCCACATCAGAAAATGCCTGTGAGTTTTCGCAGGAAATTTCAAAACCGTTTCCTTTTTCAAAGCTTGCCGGGGAACATGGGCGGGCTTGTCTTCTTTTCGTTTTGAATGAAAAAGTGACACCAAAAAGTGCGGCATTTTTGGTGTTTGGCATTTTGGGCTTTTCCCTCTTTTATTTTTGCCCCCGGCTGTAGTAGGGTGGACACACCACAGGTGCCCCCGACGTCCGGGCATGGCGTAGCTGGCTCTCTTCCTCTAGTGCCCCTGCCAATGGTCACGCTGGTCTGCCTGTTCTCGTGACGCCACCCTACAGGAAGGTCACCGTAACACCTCTCCCCGTCCGGTGCAGCAGTGTTCCATGTGACACTGGTCATCAATATGATGTCTTCAATATGATGCCTCTCGGGCTCTACTTCCGTTCCACTCTTCTGCCCAAGTCATCACCGCCCAGAAGTCTTTTGGCCAAACTCTGAGTGAGACACAAACCCCAACCCCTGGGTTTTTCACACCCCTGAGCACCGTAGAGCTGTCCACCTGACTTTTAAGTGTAGACCAAGCCTATGTGGGCTTAAACCAAACTGTATTGTCCCCCCACACATGGGACCTTTGGGCCTCTTCTGCCTCATCATTCCAGGCCTTGTGGTTTCTTCAGCCCATCTCCCATGCCCTCCTTCTCTTGTATAGCCACAGCCACTCTGGTCTGCATGTTTTCTGAACCATTGCAGGCATGCTCGGCTCCTGATCATTGCCTTGGTTTAGCCGCACTTCAGCCAAGCTGCTCTCTGCACCTGCCCACCCCTGTCAGACCACAGGCTGCACCCTCTATCCCTGGTCAGTTTGCTTGACAGAGGTGATTGTGATGTACAAATAATGGGCCAGATAGTGCTCTGGCCACAGGCAGCCATGCAAGGGAGTAGGAGGCAGCCCTATGCCCCAGTGTGGTCATAGAGGAGCTCCCCAGGTCATGGCTTGGCACAGGGCGTGGGAAGCAGGTGAGAGAGGTAGGGAAGGGGGGAGCCAGGTTCTGCTCTGGTCACGCTCAAGGTTGGGATTCCAACTGGGGAAGTAATTTACTCCCCCTTCCCCCCTCCCTCGGAGCAAGAAGTTTCTAGAGGAAGAACTGTGACACTCTAAGCTGCAATTATATCCCAGGGCTCCTAAGTTCCCTTTAAGGTGAGCGGCTGTGCAGCCATGCAGCCACGCAGCAGCCTATTAAGCGCCATGCAGGCGCTCAGGGCTGCGGTAGGGAAAGATGCCTCTCCCTGCTGGCCCCAGCCCCAGACCTGCTGTGGCTGAGGGAGAGGTGCCTATCCCGGGGCCCCAGCCTCAGAGCTGCCACAGCATGGAGAGGTGCCTCTCTTCCCCAGCCCACGTGTTGCTGGGGGGAGTCCTCTCTCCCCACTGTAGCCCTGGGGCAGCCTGCACCTCAAACCCCTCATCCCTGGCCCCACCCCAGAGCCCACACCCCCAGCCAGAGTCCTCACTTCCCCCCATCCCAACCCTCTGCCTCAGCCCTGAACCACCTTCCACATGCTGAATCCCTAGGTCCC